GAAGAGTACACTCATCAGAGAGGCGATGCACCATGATCTTCAATCACGTCCTAGTCCGAAGAGTACTGGTAGATGGAGGCGCATCTGCCAACATCTCGTCCCTTCCAACATATCTTGCCTAGGGATGGACCAGGTCACAACTGAAGAAGAGTCCGACACCCTTGGTTGGATTCTCTGGAGAATCGGTCTCTTCAGAAGGGTGTATTGACTTGCCGGTCACGATTAGGCAAGATGATGATACACAAGTAACTCAGATGGCCGAGTTCGTCGTGATCGACGGCAGGTCGGCCTACAACGCCATCTGCGGGAGACCCATCATCCATTCGTTCTGGGCCGTTCCCTCAACACTTCATCGAATCCTGAAGTACTCAACTCCCAATGGAGTGGGCACGGTTCGAGGAGAGCAGAAGACTTCAAGAGAGTGTTATGCCTCCGCACTCAAAGGGTCGTCAGTGTGCGCCCTGGAAGGACAAAACAACCGGGACGAGCTGGAAAAATACGAGGCCGACCTACCTAGAGAAGGCAAAAGGGAGTCTTCTGCGCCAACAGAGGAGCTCGAACTTGTTCCTTTGCTTAGCCCTGAAAAACAAGTAAGCATAGGAACCAAGCTGGGGGCCACCGATAGGGAAGAGCTGATCAACTTCCTCAGGTCCAACTCGGACGTTTTCGCGTGGTCCCACGAGGATATGCTAGGCATCGACCCGGAGATCATGGTGCATCGCCTCAACATAGACCCATCATTCCGACCTGTGAAGCAAAAAAGACGACCTGTAAACAAGGAAATGAGTGATGTAATTGTTGAGGAAGTTAACAAACTTTTAAAAGCTGAATATATAAGAGAAATTTTGTATCCCAAGTGGCTCTTTAATGTCGTACTAGTGAAAAAATCCAACGGGAAGTGGAGAATGTGTGTAGACTTTACAATTTTAAACAAGGCATGCCCAAAAGACTGCTTCCCCCTACCGAGGATCGACCAGCTCGTAGACACAACGGCCGGGCACGAGCTGCTCACCTTCATGGATGCCTAATCCGAATACAACCAAATCAAAATGCATGTCCCAGATCAGGATCATACCGCATTCATAACAGATCAAGGTCTGTATTGCTATAAGGTTATGCCCTTCGGCCTAAAGAATGCGGGGGCGACCTACCAAAGAATGGTGAACAAAATGTTCGCCAAACAGATCGGCCGGAATATGGAAGTGTATGTGGACGACATGCTTGTCAAGAGCAAGCAGTCAAAGTCGCATCTTTCCTATCTGGCCGAAGCGTTTGAAGTTCTTCGGAAGTATCAAATGAAGCTCAATCCAGCCAAGTATGCCTTTGAAGTCTGCTCGGGGAACTTCCTTGGTTTTATGGTACATAACCGGGGGATCGAAGCCAACCCAGAGAAGATAAAGGTCGTGCTCGACATGGAGGCACCCAAGACTCTGAAGCAGCTTTAGTGCCTCAATGGCAGGATTGCAGCTCTAAATAGATTCGTTTCGAGGTCAACAGATAAGTGTCTTCCTTTCTTCAAAGTCCTAAGAAAGAAGGGATCATTTGAATGGACGGCAGAGTGCAAGCAAGCACTGGAGCAGTTGAAAAACTACCTCTGCTCGGTACCTCTGCTCGCCAAGCCATTGCCAGGAGACGAGCTCCACTTGTACCTGGCAGTGTCCGACAGCGCTGTCAGCTCGGCCTTAATTAAGCAAGAAGGAGTATGTCAAAGTCCCATTTATTATACAAGCAAAGCCATGACCGAGGCCGAGACCAGATATCCCCAAATGGAGAAGGTGGCCCTTGCCCTAGTCACCTCGGCCCGAAGACTTAGGTCGTACTTCCAAGCACACACCGTCGTAGTGCTTACCAACTTGCCCTTGAATAATATCTTCCATAAGCCGGAGACATCAGGGCGCCTGATGAAGTGGGCAATGGAGTTGAGCGAATACGACATCCAGTTCGAACCCAGAACTGCGTTGAAAGGGCAAGCAATGGCAGATTTCATCGCGGAGCTCACCCCACCACTTCAATCGGCCAAGTCCGACCTCCCGTGGACGATCTACGTTGACGAATCTTCCAATGAGAGAGGGTGCGGGGCAGGAATCCTCTTGCTCGCACCAAGTGGCGAGCGATTCGAGTATGCCCTGCGGTTCAATTTTCGGACATCAAATAATGAGGCTGAGTATGAAGCGCTTCTGGCAGGGCTGCGCGTTGCCAGAGGATTGGGGGCCATCCACATCAAGGTCTTCAGTGACTCCCAGCTGGTCGTAAATCAGATAAAAGAGAAGTATCAAACGAAAGACTCCCGGATGGAAAAGTCTAAGCAAAGTCAGATCGTACCTCGCTCATATCAAGACTTACGAGGTGAATCAAGTTCCAAGATCAGAAAATTCCAACGCAGATGCCTTAGCCAAACTGGCATCAGTGTATGAAACTGACCTGGCCAGATCGGTCCCTGTCGAGATCCTGGATAATCCTTCAATCTTGGAGCCAAATTTGATGGTGGTTGACACTCCAGAACCCTCGTGGATGGATCCAATCATGGAATTTATCAAAGGAAATCCACCGCAAGATTCAAAGGCACATAAGAAGATGGTGCAAAAAGTAGCTCGGTTCATACTCCGAGATGGAGCATTGTATCGACGAGGATTTTCCCTGCCTCTCCTTAAGTGTGTAACTTTAGAAGATGGGAATTACATCATCAGAGAAATTCACGAAGGAGTATGTGGCAACCATTCAGGAGCCAGGTCGCTATCGGTCGAGGTGGTCCGACAAGGGTATTATTGGCCCACCGTTGATCAGGATGCCAAGCAGTTTGCGAAAGCTTGAGATAACTGCAAGCATTTTGCAAACATTATCCATCAGCCTCCCGAGCTGCTCACCCCCATCTCGGCCCCATGGCCATTCGCACAATGGGGAGTGGATATCATAGGTCATTTTCCTCTTGGCAAAGTGCAAACCAAGTTCGCCGTTGTCGCTGTGGATTACTTCACCAAGTGGGCCGAAGCTGAGGCGCTCTCTCACATCACGGAGTCCAGAATCACATCTTTCATATGGACAAACATTGTATGCAGTTTCGGTCTACCAAACGCTATTGTGACGGACAATGGAAAGCAGTTCGACAATGCAAAGTTCAAAGACTTTTGCAGGAAGCTAGGCATAAGCCATCTCAGTTCGTCCCCTGCACATCTGGAAGCAAATGGGCAGGTTGAAACGATAAATAAAATAATAAAACGAGGGCTCAAGATGAGATTGGACTCCAGGAAGGGGAGATGGGCCGAAGAGCTACCCGAGGTAATGTGGTCATATCGAACCACCCCAAGAGAATCAACTGGCGAAACCCCATTCTCACTGGCCTTTGGCTCTGAAGCTGTCGTTCCGATTGAGATCGGCATGCCAACCGACAGGGTAGAGCAGTACGAACTACTCAGAAACGAGGCTGAACTACTCCTCAACCTCGACCTACTAGAAGAAAAAAGGGAAATGGCTCAGCTACGCTTAGCGGAGTATCAGAACAGAATGGCCAAACATTACAACGCTCGAGTTCGACCTCGAAGCTTCCAAGTAGGACATTTGGTCTTAAGGAAGATTCAGAGTCATGTGGGCACCCTTGACCCAAGTTGGGAAGGACCGTTCGAGGTTAAAGGCATAGTCCGACCTGGAACGTACATGCTAGCCGACCTGGAAGGAAATGTGCTTGCGCATCCGTGGAACACAGAGCACTTAAAGCGCTATTACCCTTGAAATGTCAAAATGGTCCTAAAATGGACTTGTAAAAATTTTCAAGAGGAGAAACTTTTAATAAACGGAGTTATTTAATTTCATGACTCTGAGTTCGATCAGAAATTAAATGGGGGTCACGGACTCCCATAAGACTTAAAACCGGTAAGGTAATAGTATTAATTGATTAAATTCAAACCTCAAAACTCACGGGTTCGAGGTGCGATGTCAAAATCAATTATGAACCAAAATTCAATCCTTTGAACGCTCAAGTTAAAGGGGCGATGTGGAAGGTTCAAGAAATTCAATCCTCCAAACCCACGGGTTCGAGGTGCGATGTGAATATTAATTATGGACTCAAAATTCAATCCTTTGAATGATGTAGAAAAGTCCAAATTGTTTAATACTATCCTTTAAACCTCCAAGTTTGAAGAGAAATATTAAAGACCAGTAAAAGAAACTCTCAAATTCGAACCTTTTAAATAAGCATAAGTAAAAGGTGCGATGTGAAAAAAGTTCATCCCACTCTCAATCGTTTAAACCTACGAGTTAGAGGTGCAAGATGGAATTATTCATGTATGAGTTCAAATTTACAAAAGCAAGTTCAAAAGTTTAAGGAAAAAGCAATAAAGAACAGATAGAGCTCGATGTGCAGAAGTGAAGAAACCAAGATTTCATTGATTAAAGGATAGAGCCAAGGCTTATATACCTTGCAGCTCTGCCCAAATACTTACACAAAAAAAAAACAAAATAAGACAGGCCTCAGCTGCTCCCAAGGTGAGAGGACATCTCGCCCTAAGAGCCCAGAAGGTTCATCTCCAGGGAGCCACCCCGCTGTGAAGAGACTTCCTCTTGGGTAGTGCCGACCTCGACCTACTCCTGGCTGTCAGCTCATTCATCTTCCATGTCGAGTCAGAGTCCAGCTCCCTGACATACTTCTCCACCAAAGACTGGGGGCCCGGAGTGCTGTTAGGCCCAGAGGCCCACTTTTCAGTGTACTTCTTCTTAAGATCGCTGAAGTCGATCTGAAGGTCAGGCATGTCGGCAGCAATGCCCTTCATCAGGAACTTGAAGCCCGCATCACTGAAGTCCTTGGCGAACCCGTCGAAGTCTGGGTGCTTCCTGAACGCTTCCTTCAAAAGAACTTCGTCGGTAAGGCGTTCTTTCACCTCCTGGAGCTCGGCGGTAAGGCGCCCTAGCGAAGCGTCCTTCTCCTCAAGGAGCTAGAACTTTTCCTTCTCCAGCCCCTTGGTGATGGCGTGGGCAGCTCAGAGGTGGGCCTTGTGTTTTTCTTCCTCTTTCTTTAGCAACAGAGCCTTGGCCTCCACCTCGGCCTTCAGAATTTCCACTTCGGAGCGAGCCTTCAATAGCTCGCCCTTCATAGTGATGGCAGCTTCCAAGGCAGCAGAGGAATCTCCTTCTCCCTGGCGGCTAAAATTTCTCTTCCGTCCAGCTCGGCCTTCATCACCATGGCCGAATGAATGGAAGCGATAAACGCCTGCGAACACAAAGCATACAAAGGTCAGACCAAGCCACAAGTTGGGGAAAACAAAAGTAGTGA